CAAAGCCGCGGCGCGGGCCGTGGGGTCCGCCCGCCACGGGACCCACTGTGGGGTCAGCCCGCCACGGGGCCCTCTGTGGGGTCTGCCCGTGGGGTTGGCCCGCTGTGGGGTCTGCCGTGGGGTTGGCCCACCATGGGTTCTGCCCACCGTGGGGTCTGCTGTGGGGTCAGCCTGCCGTGGGTTCTGCTCGCCGTGGGTTCAGCCCACCGTGGGGTCAGCAGGGCTGGCCCTGATGCCCTATCCCAGTGGGAGCAGAGGGCACTCATGCCCTGGGTCCGCAGGCTCCGGCTCCAGGGTCCCTTCCGTGAAGGCCACCGTGGAGGTGGCCCAGTGTGACCTGGCCTGGCCATCTTCTGCCCACTGTCCCTGGCCACATCAGACAGGCCGGCATGGGCAGCCCAGCGCCCCTCAGGGAACACACCTGGGCAGTAGCAGCTGCTGCAGCCTCGTCGGCCCACAGGGGCAAGTCCACCATGGGCAGTGGGACTCCGAGGCCGAGCCCCGGTATCAGAGCATCCTCCCAGAGCGGCTTTGGGTCAGAGTGACCCGGTCCTGATGGGCCAGGCGCGGGCCACACACCCTCCTGCAGTGAAGGGCAGGCAGCCGCCCGACCCTCGACTGGGGAATGGGGAGCCGCAGTCCCCCCAGGAAAACGGTGCTGTTAGCAGCCGGCCAGAGCTAGATTCTGGACTCCTGGACGCTCCTGCCCACTCCCTGCACCTCTCCTCCCACTGGCTCCTGTGCCACAGCCTCCATGTCTGCGGTGCCTGCCAGGACCCGGAGTCGCCGCACCAGGCTTGGCTTGGAGTGCGGCATCTGTAGAGGCGCCGCCAGTAACCCGCCAAGCTCAGAGTCCGTAAAGCTGCGACATGCCGGCACACAGATGGGTCCTCACGGGCGCATCGCACCCTGCGCGCCGTCTGGCAGGCACAAGCCCCACACAGCTCTCTGGTCCTCGCCTAGCTGGCCGCTGGCCAGGAGGAGCATGGCAGGGCACCACGGTTACCCAGGGGGCCACCCACGCGGTCTGTCGCACCTGCCACCCCCACACACCACCAGCCTGGACCAGTCATGTTCCGCATGGAGGGGCTGCCCTGCCCGCCTTGCAGGGCCTCAGGGAGGGCCCCTGGCCCAGCAGCAGCTTGTTTCTGAGGACGGGCATCTGGGGAGGGGCTCGGTCAAACGTGGTCTCTCGGCCCCCCGTGCCCTCCCTGGGCTGTCAGCAGGCCTGGCCCATGCGAGAGGTGCCCCCATTCCCAGTCCACCTCATGCTGCACACTGTAAACCACCAGCCCCCACGGCCTCCCTGCCTCCGCTGTCCCCGCCCTGGCCATGCCTCCAGCCAGAGCCACCCTGTCCACACAACCCGGACCGTCACCGCCGCCCCAGCGCCTTCCTGGTGCACTGGGATGAGTCTGTGTGACTGACTTGGCACCTTCAAGTCTGGCCCCAGCCCCCTGGTCTGCCCTGTGCCCTTTGGACAGGCCCAGCCTGCTCGTGCTCCCAGACCTCATGCTCAGCTCCCCACCCGGGTCCTCCACCCAGATTCCCGAGGCTCCACTGCCGTGTCACCTGGTCTGACCGCCCAGTCCAAAGCACTCCCTCATGGTGGCTGGGACTTGGGGGTGGCCGCTGAAGGAGAGGCCCCTGTTTCAAGGCCGGCCGGTGCCAGCTGTCAGGCCGGGTGTGGAGACCCCACTGGGCCGGAGCGTCCTTCCATCTAGTGCTCCAGATGGCTGCTCTGCACCCACCGTCACCCCGCGCTCCAGGGAGGGAAGCTCACCACCACCAGCTGCAGGGTGGGCCGAGCTCCAGGGCCCCTGCAGGGGAGGACAGGGCTGGTCGTGTGCCCGCCGGGTCTCTCTGCCGTAACTGCCGCCAGGCTGCCCTCAGAGCCCATCTTGGTGCTTCTAGTTGGCCTCAGCTCCCCACTCCCTGCCACACCCACGGGCTCCCAGCAGGTGCAGAGGAGCATGGGAAGAAAGGGCACCCATCTCCCGCCATGGGGGAGTGAAGGAGCCACCCTCCCCTGCACCCCTGCACCCGCTGTGTGTCAGGCACTGCTCCAACTTGCCACCCCTGCCCCAGGTAGCCATGCCCTGTCCCAGGTTGCAGTGCGGCCTCATCGCACAGAGGAGACCTTGGTCCCAGAGCCAGTGGCTGGGGACAGCGTGGAGCCTGGGTCCGGTCCCTCTCAGCTGGAGGGAGCACTGGCATCTTGTGGGACAGGGACGCAGAGTGCCCGGGGCTGCTGCTCAGGACGAGGGGTGACATTGCAGGCCTCCAGGTCGCCCTGTGATGGGAGCCTGCGGGGAGCCTGCGGTGGCCATCAGGACCCGGCTCTGGCCGTCTTCACCGAGCAGGCGTAGGCCCCTGGGTGGCACGCGCCCCATTCCCCGCCTCCACTACGGCGAGCCTCGTCCAGCCCCGGGGCACGGTCGGCCCCAGTGGCCCTGCACCCCCGTACAGCCGCCCATCCCTCCTCGTCACTGTCATGCCCCTGGCTCTGCGTATGCATCCTGTCAGTTCCAGTCCTTCAGACGTCGGCACCTGGCAGCCGGAGCCTGGCCACGGCTGCTGGTCCTTCCCTGGGCACTGGGACCTGCAGGAAGCCCTCCATCCGGGCAGCTCCTGGAACCCCAGACCCTGGCCTGCCTGTCTTCTAGGCTGGGCCTCTGTTCTGGTTTAGTGTATTCACTTGCTCCTTGTACGCAGAAGCACACCGATGGGAGGGAGGGAGCAGGAACTCGACAGTTTTCCCCGTGGACCCCCACCCTGCACGCCTTGTCACAGGCATGCATGTACGCTCAGTGCCGGGAGCCCTGGGCCGCACACCAGGACCTTCCCATGTGGCGTGTGGCCCCAGTGCTGCTGCCCCACCGCCTGGCCTGGGCAGGGCCCTTGCGCCATGCTGGGTCTCTGGGTGGACCCTCCCGACCCCGCTGTGCTGTCGCCCAGGCTCAGGCCTGGCACTGGGGCCCGGGCTCTGTTGTGTGTGGTGGAGGGTGGCATAACCCCTGCCTGTGCCGAGGGGTCCCCAGAGTGGGCCGTCAGGGGCCTGGTGAGGAGGACATGGCTGTGACCCCACTCTCTAGGGGAGCTGAGGCGTGGAAGGACGGGGAGTTGGGAGCAGGCGGCCCGAGGACCTAGGCTCCCCAGCTCTGCTGCCTCCCTGCCCTCAGACCCTCGCAGTGGAAGGGCCGGATGGGTGCTGGAGGGACACGGGCATCCCGTGTGACAGGGTGGCATTTGTGATTGCCTGTGGGTCGCGTGACGGGCCCAAGATGGGGGACTGGGTCTGGCAGGTCCAGACCCAGGCGGGAGCCCCGTAGTGGAGGGCCGACACCGCATCCGCGGGCGCCCTTGGCCTAGGCCAGGCCACACGGCCCCTGTGCTGCTGACCGCGGCTCCCCCTCAGGGCCGGCCGCAGCAGGATGGACGCCCGGGAGCAGGCGACCTGGGCCAACGGGAGCCGGGCTCTGCCCACGCCCCTAGCGCCCAACATCAGCCTGCCACACCGCTGCCTGCTGCTGCTCTTCGAGGACTTCGGCACCTCCAGGTGAGGCCGCTGCCCTGGGCTCCCGGCGGGCCGGCGGGCACACAGCCTCCGGGTGAGCTGTGCCTCTGTCCTCCTCAGGGTCCGGTACTGGGACCTCCTGCTCCTCGTCCCCAATGTGCTCTTCTTCACCTTCCTGCTCTGGAAGCTCCCATCTGCACGGGCCAAGGTCCGCGTCACCTCCAGCCCCATCTTCATCACCTTCTACATCCTGGTGAGCGTACTCCGCCGCCTAAGCCGAAACCGGGCTGCTTGCCTTGCCGTGAACGCCAGCTGCGGCGGGGCTGGGTCCGGGAGATGCCGCGGTCTCATTAGGGCTGACTCTCTGCACCTGTTCCCTCGGGACCGCGTCTCGGAGGTCTCCCTGCACGGCAGGG